CCCCCAAATTTAAAAAGGTTTATAAAAAAAAAAAAAAAAAAAAAAAAAAAACTTGGCCCAGGAAGAATCTAATCAAGATATGCAGCTTCCTTGATTTAATGTGGCCAAGATTTTGTCTAAAAAAATTCTGCATGTTGTTAAGAGATAGCTCTGGGAACAGAGCTGTTTCTGAAGACACTCTCCCTGGATCTCTGTGAGGGACCAGGAAGGCTGATGGGCAGCCAGCAGGAGGCACTTCCCAAAGACATGCTGCTGTGAGGTATGTGTGGGGGGCAAGATATGCAGCTTCCTTGATTTAATGTGGCCAAGATTTTGTCTAAAAAAATTCTGCATGTTGTTAAGAGATAGCTCTGGGAACAGAGCTGTTTCTGAAGACACTCTCCCTGGATCTCTGTGAGGGACCAGGAAGGCTGATGGGCAGCCAGCAGGAGGCACTTCCCAAAGACATGCTGCTGTGAGGTATGTGTGGGGGGGTGACAGTTGGTGGATTTGGGGCTCTGCCACAGGGAAGAAGCTCCAGCTTCTAGATTGTGATGTGTCTAGAGACAGATGTCTGCCTGGGCCTCTTCATAAAAACTAAATGCAGTTGAGTTCCTCACAGAAAGCAACTGCTGCTCAGATGTCTAGTTCTCCACAGCCTCACACACTCTTTGCTTCTTTTCAGAGAATTTTGTGAGTCATGGTTTGTCTTCTTTCAAACTATGCTCTGATAGGCAGGTGCTGCGGTCAAGGGCCTGCCTTCCTACCCTAAGCAAAACAACTCTTAATTGGATCTGGTTGACTTATTTTCCTAATTTGTTACTTGATTCATTGTATTTTAAAACATTGGTTAAATAACAGCAGCCTCTTAACCCAACTTGCCAAAGGTCAAACTCAAGTGATTCGCCTTTTGGTATTTAGTTCTATAATTCTAAACACTGGTCGAACTCAGGTTGTTCAAATTGGCAGCAAGTACCTTTACCTACTGAGTCATCTCACCAGCCTCTGTGTTTTGTTTTGTTTTGTTTTGCTTTTGTTTTGTTTTGTTTTGTTTTTTGTCTTTTTGAGACAGGGTCTTCTTGTAGCCCCAGCCGGCCTAGAGCTTACTAGGTAGACCAGGCTGACCTTGAACTCCCAGAGATCCACCTGCTTCTGCCTCCTGAATGCTAGGATTAAAGGTGTGTGCCACCATGCCCCACTTGTGTTTTGTTTTTTTGAGACAGGGTTTCTTGTAGCATAGGTTAGCCTTGAACTTGCAGTGTATCTGAGGATGAGGTTGAACTCTTTTTTTAAAATTAAAAGTATTTATTTTTATGTGTATGAGTATTTTGCCTGCATATAAGTGCATCCATGTCCTGCAATGCCCATGGAAGCCACAAGAGGACATCAGATCTCCTGGAACTGAAGTAAAGGACAGTTGTTAGTTGCCATGTGGGTGCTGGGACTCCAACTTAGGTCTTCTGTAAGAGCAGCCAGTGCTCTTAACCTTTGAGCCATCTCTCCAGCCCCAATGTTGAACCTTTGATGTTCTTGCCTCCACCTCCCAAGGGCTTCAATTGCAGGTTTGCAACTCCATGCCTGCTGGATTATGGTGGGGGGTTTGTTTGTTTGTTGTTTTTGAACCAGCATCTGATTTCTGACTTCCTATTATGGAAGATGAAGATTAAATTCTCTTATCATACATCCTGTCTCCTTCTACACTCCTTCACCTATATACAAAGACACCTTTCCCCTCCTTAACATCCCCAAAGACTAAATATCACATTGTTCAATTAAGTCAATAGTGTTTATATTATTATAACTATAGAAACTGTTACTACACTCTACCTGTTGTGAGAAGGGCACCTACCTCCAAGGGAAGGATCAGTGACGGCTTTCCAGCAGAGGTAACAGAGAAAGGGAGACTTGAACGGCAGGCCTATGAAAGTAGGAGGTCACGGGAGGAAGGATTAAAGAAGAGACAGCAGGTGCCAAGGCCTAGAGAGTGGCCTAAAAAGTCTGGTTCAGTGGGAACAACAAGAATAAGTAAGGCTGAAGCTGGTGTGTAGTGTGAGGCAGGAAGCAGTGGGGACTTCAGCAGGGAGCAGAGAGTTGAATGAAGAGCTGTATGGAGAGCAGTGGGGATGGGTGGGAGGGGTATATCGCCGGCCTGAAGGTGGTAGTCAGGCTCAACTCAGGTACCTGGTCAGAGTGGGGTACCAATCAAGACAGTAAACTGGATTGGGAGTAGTGGGGATCGAGCCTTTAATCCCAGAGGGAGGGGAGAGGGGATCTCTGAGAAATCAAGGCCAGTTGGTCTACATAGGGAGTTCCAGGCCAGCTGGGGCTACAGGGAGACCCTAGCTCAAAAGGGAGAAATGGCTCAGAGGTTAAGAGCACTGGCTGCTCTTGCAGAGGACCTGGATTCAGTTCCCAGCACTCACGTGGCAGCTAACAACCATCCTAAACTCTAGTTCCGAGGGACCTAACACCTTCTGGCCTCCATGGGCATTGCATGCACAGGTGCGCTACATCCATGTAGGCAAAACACTTATACACATAAAATAAAAATAAATAAATTTTTTAAAAAGAGAGCATAAAGTGGAAACAGATGCCTTAGAAGGGAAGAGAAGAGCTCCCATTCAGATGCTTAGGGTTTGAGGTGCCTGTGGGATGTGTGGGCCGAGGAGGGAAATAAAAAGCAAGGGCTAGAACAAGGTAAGGAAATTTTTTTTTTATAAATTAATAGTTGGCTTCAGATTTTCTGTGAAGAAACTGGCTTTGTGTGGGGAAATGTCATGCTAAGAGCTTACCTTAGAAGTGAAACTCCCACTTCTGAAAGGCTGGTAGTTAGATCTCAGAGGAGGAGAGATGCTTTGGATGAAAAAGAGGACTTTGGAATTACCATGGCAAATGGGTGAAGGAAGAGCTGAGAGAGAAGAAAAGAAAGCAAGATGGTGAGAGGCTGGCCAAAGCCTAAGATCCCCTGGCTGGGAATACTCGCCATCACCACTGGCACAATAATAACCCCAGAGTGGAGTTTGATTAGCTAATGCGGGGGAACAGAAAAGTTGTCCACCAGCATCTCCAAAAAGAGATAACCCAGAGTACCTGGGAATCAGAACACCAGGCAGACCTCGTGTTCTACCCACTGTGAGACCTCCTTAAATATCCCTAGCTAAATTAGCCCAGGATGACCCAGAATCTACAAGGTCCCCAGATGAGTGTGGAATGAGAAAGGAAGGGGCCTAATTCAGCTGAGGCCTGTGTGCTAGGCCTGAGGAAGGACGGGTTGGGGGGCGGGGATCACAAAGAGAAAAAGAGACCCAAAAGACCAGATGGTGCCATGAAGCCAAGAATAGTGTGAACTGAAGACGGGTTCTAAGGGGAGGGCTGCTTCAGAAGTGGATGGGATACCAGACAGGAGAAAGGAGGGCCTATATGCAATGGGCAGAGTGTTTGTGTGTGCCTCCCCCATGCCCCAACAGATTTTAACTGTTGAAATCTTAATCCCCTTGGACCAGGCAAGGTGGCACATACCTACAATACTAGCACTTGAGAGATGGAAGCAGGCAGAGCAAGAGTTCAAGACCATCCTCAGCTATATAACAAGTTTAAAGCCAGCCTATGCTACGTGAAACCCTGAGTTTGATCCCTGGGACCCACATGGTGAAAGGAGAAAACTGACTTCCACTAGTTGTCCTCTGATCTGCATATGCATGCACTGGCCCATGAACACACACACATGCATGCACACACACACACACACACACACACACACATGATGATTGATAGATAGATGATAGGTGATAGATAGATAGATAGATAGATAGATAGGTAAATAGATAGGTAAATAGATAGATAGATTGTAAATCCACGGGACTTCAAAAAACAAACAAAATAGAACCTAAAACCAGAAGTCCTAATCTCCAAGGGGAGGGTATCAGAAGATGGAGATGTGGGGAAGTGATGAGGCCATGAGGGTTGAGCCATTTGAATGGGTTTACTACCATTATGAAATGAACCCTGAGAAAATATACCTCTCCTCTCCTTTCTACTATGGCAAGGACACATGAAAATCACCATTTTGCAGCTCAAAGGAGGACCCCCACCAGAACCCAACTATGCTAGCACCTGCTTTCATTGCCTACCTCTAGAACTATGAACCATAAATTTCTATATGTTTGTTTGTTCGTTTGTTTGTTTGAATATGTCTCACTACATAGTACAGCCTGGCCTCAAGCTCATAATCCTCCTGAATCAGTGCCTCAGATGCTAGGATTACAGGCTTGTGCCACCACACTTGGCTCTGAGTGGGAGAGGGGAAAAAAAGAAAGCATTATTAGTGGAAAGTTGAAGACCCCAGAGTGGCCCCTCTTTGGTAGTCCCTTGCTCTGCCTTGAAGGGCCCCCACCTTGAGTCTGGGGTGTATCTCTGTCTCCTGGAAAGGCCCTCTATAAAGAGAGGGGGCATTGTATTCCAAGGGATGAACTGCCTGCTTAAAACACTGAAGGAACAAAGAGACAACTTTCGAAAGCAACAAGAAAGGGTTGAAAACCCCATTCTAGGGACAGAAATACAAGCAATTGCTGAGAAGTGACCAACACCTTCTGTCATCCGTATATATATTTTTTTCAGTTAAAATTTTTTATTTCATTAACTTAAAAGGTGAACAAAATGTGTATTTCAAGTCTTATTAAACTTATTTACCTGAAATATATGTTTACACAGAGGACAGATACAGGATTTTCAAGTCACATATGGGAAAGTCATTATGCATTAAAAAATATTCTTTCTTACACACACACAACTCTTTCCTTTATACTGTATACAAGCTAGATGCGAACTTCTGATGTAAACTTAATTCACTGTGAACACTGATGTTGGAGATAGGTGCCACAAGTGTTCACAGTTCAGTTAAATGATGCAAACAAAATGCTGCTTTCCTTGGACACAAGGGGCCTCCACCCATGTCCCTTGGCAGGACTGTGCAACACGCTCGCACATCCCTTCTTGCCTTTCCCTTTTTCACTCCCCTCTCCTCACTGAAGACTTGTGTCAGTGCCTCCTGTTTTTTGTGTCCTTGTTTTTAGTTTGGGAATCATTTCAGCTGCACACAGCATTACTGATTTACCTGATGGGAACTGTACAAGGCAGAGGCAGCCATGGTCCTGTTTGAGCTGTACCCGGACTCTGCCTCTGTACTGAACATCTCGGTTCCATTCTCTGGAGTACATTTTATTCTTCTCAAGAAACACATTCAGTCCAACTGTCATGCATACATCTTGAATCTCTGTAGCTGTAGGATTTTCCACAGCCTTGCTTATGGGAATATGCCTCCCCTCTGCGATGGTCTTATCGCTTAAATAAGCAGGATAGATACAGATAAACCTGTCCTGGTCCGCCGGGGACTGCGCAGCGACGCACGCCATCTCCACCAGGCCACAGCTGAGCCGCAAGTTACCCAGGCCCAACACCCTGTCATCAGTATATTAATACCCAGAGTGACAAGTCTGAACAGGCTTTTGGACAACCCATGGGACAACGATAAACTAAGGGGGCCTAGAGCAAGACCAGCCCCTCAAAGCTACTTCTAGGCAAGATTTTGCCGATACTGAGGTGACAAGAGGCTGTCACTTAACACCAGGGTTGCGCTGTGGCCACACAGGGGCAGTCTTGCCAGGGTCTGCTGGTACTTTCCAGAAGGACATTTCGAAGCGTGGGTGGGTTTTTCCTAACAAGTCGGCACTCAGATGGGCCTACCCACAAGGCTTACATTTGGACCAGGAAAATAAAAGGAAAGCCCTATTGGATTGTTGGGATGTCTTGGAGAACTTTCTCAGGGACAGATGGGTGAGAGGCTGTTGGTTGACATTTAACTGTTAGCTCCAAATTGATCCAATGTCTCCTTGCAGGCTGTCCAAGTGAGTGTGAACATGGACTGGACTCTACTGCCTGCCCTCCAGGCTGTCTGCTAGAACTGGCCTCCCACTCATCTGGGCACAGGCCACCAGCACAGAGTATAGTCAGCTGCCCAAGCTCCCACCAAAAGTGCTTTTCTCTTAAAAACTACTTCCTCCTCCCTTTGTTCTTGGTATGGGCCACATGGTGTGTTAATCTTCTCAGGTCACCATGGCAAGATATCACAAACTGGGTGGCTTAAATAACAAAAATTAATTTCTTGCAGCTCAGGAGGCAGGGATGTCCAAAATCATGGTTTTGGGAAGCTCAGTTTCATTCTGAGTCCTTTTCTCTCAGCTAGTGAAATGGGGAAAAAGAGAGTCCCCTAGAGGGTTCTTAGTCTCATTCCCAAAAGGAAGCTTTTACAATTTTATTAGACTCTTAAAGTCCTCAGGGCAGGTGAGCTGATAATCTTGGCAGCTGCCTTGAGGAGGTGAATAGTGAGAAGAAGGAAAGGAAGCCATGAAGCCATGCAGGTTTAGAGCCTGCATAGAGGTCAGACACCTGCCTTCCTGGGAGTGGTTCTATCACCAGGTAATTGACCAGTGAGACTGGGAAAGTAGGTCCTCCAACAGATGGACTAGTGATTTTATAGTCTTGGCCACTTAAACTTATGGGGCTTATTGATACTCTAACATTAGTAGATAGTGGCCATCTTGCTGTATGATCACATGACCTCTGCTTTGTGAATTCCCACAGAGATATTTGGCCTGAGTTTTCTTATATGACCTCATTTAACTATCATTTTTCCCCAAAGCTCTTATCTTCAAATATAGTCACACCCACACCAAAGCCAACTTCAACATAGGAAGTTTAAAAATATTTTGATTAATTTGTGTGTATGTGTTTCTGTGTGTGAGTATACTATACATTTGTGTGGCATGCCTGTGGTCAGAAGTTTTCATGTATCTCCTCTACCACTCTCCCTCTGTTCCTTTGTCTCTTCCTGAACCTGGGACTCATGTTTTCTCAGCTAGGCTAGAAGCCGGCAAGCCCCAGTGGCCCTCCTGGCTGCTATTGCTTCATAGTATGCGTCTCCATCCTCAGCTTCCACCATCAGCTGTCCCTTCCCTTTGACCAATCTCCTGAAAGGGCATCCAGTTTGTTTCAGCATCCCTTTTCAAGCCAGCCTCCAGACAGATTAAATGGCTGGCCTTGGGTCTAAACATCAAGGTACAGGCAGGTGATGTGATGTAACACACTCCAGTATGTAAGGATCACGTTCAGACTTAGGACAGCTATGTTTTAAATAATAAAGATTCTCCTCAGGTTCAGTAGAGAGATGCACTGAGATGAATTTCAGGTAATGGATCCTTTAATAACAGCAGCCACTCCCAGAAGGTGAAGCTGGGACAAGAAGTTCAAGAGCCACCCACAGAACAAAGGAAATACCTTACTTTTATAGACTTTAGAGGAGCAAGGTCTCTGAGCTTAGAAGAAAGGGGTTTCAGAGTTAGTGGATTAGTGAAGATACTAGATAGGCTCTAAGGACAGAATTTAAGAAGCTAATGCTATGTTGGGGTTGCCACATGCTGGGAATTTAGCACCTTGGAGAAGGTACTAGATAGACTATAAAGCATGGTTGATCACTCTACAGGGATCTGTAATCTAACAAGTTATTTTTCTTTTTTTCATTTATTTATTTATTTATTTATTTATTTATTTTTCTTTTTCATTTATTTATTTATTTATTTATTTATTTATTTATTTATTTGTGTGTAAGTGCCATGTCCCACATGTGGAGGCCAGAGGACAACTTGAAGGAGTTGGTTCTCTCCTTCTACTATGTGGATTCCAGGGACTGAACTTAGATCATCAGCCTTGGTGGCAACCTCCTCCACCTACTTAACAATCTTGCCAGCCCTATATACTCTTTTTTACACAAAAAAGTTACCTGATTTTTCATGTCTTCATTGATCTGGAAACCTTTCTGTTAAGTCAGTCTGTAGCCTGTCAACTATGGGTCACTCGGGCTCTGGGTTCAGTTGGAGTTCAAGCAGGGTCTCTTAACCTCAACTCGCCTGACATGGTGACCATACGAGCAGTGCTCTCTCAGCTTGGGATGCTAGCTGCCTCCTCCCCATTGTGACAACCAGAAATGCCCCAGATGTTTCTCATTGCCCCTCGGGTGGCAAAGCCCTCCCTCAGTAAAAACCACTAGCTGTCCTCTGGGATTCCACAGAAGGCTTCCTGGAACAAGAAGAGATCTGGTTCCGCATGTGACAGTCATGGTGGTGTCTGGCATGTTTCCCATTTGTCTAATAGGGATAACGGCTCCAGACTGTGTTAACACATCTAGAGAAGCTATTTAACCTGCAGGTGGAAAGTGAGGAGCCAGCACTGTGTCCCGAGATCACCTGCAGCTGGGCATGTGCTGTGTCCCAAGGGTGCTGCCCTGTAGCCAGACACAGTACAATGCCCACTACTCAGGATGGACCACAGATGACCCAACTGAGTCCAGTCTCCAAGATTGCTCAAACCCCTGAGTGCCTCTAGGCTTCTTTTTAATGTTTGCTTTGTTTAACCTTCTGTTTTATTGTCACCAAGAGAAAGGTCCATTTAATTCATACCAGATGCAGGGTGAGTCGCGCGAATCCACACAGTATCCCCAGAGCCCACCAAAGTGAATTACAAGGACAAACAGGGTTGTTTTACTTCCTGCAAAGCAGTGACTAAAATAGTGCTTTGCCAGTTTAGGAAAAAAATGTACAAGGTTAAGAGGCCTGGGGGCCTGCTATGTGATTCACATGTATATGAGTAGGAAATAAACAGCACGTTCTGAGGGAGACAGGTATGAGGCCTATAGCTAAGCCAGGTGGAGGAGGAGAGAGGCCCCAGAGAAAGGTTCTAGACTGAGGGTCTGTCAACCCCTGAAATGCTTATGTACCTGTTTTCATCAAAGTCTCATGGGTACTCAAGACTCAGCTGTTTAGTGACCTCCTGTTATGGTCTGAATGTGGTTTGTCCCCCTCAAAGATTATAAATGGGAAGCTCAGTGCCCTGTGTGTCAGTGTTATAAGGTAGTATGGTGGCACAGGTCTGTAATCACAGGTCTGAGGAGGCTGGGGCAAGAGGATTGTGAGTTCAAGGGCCAGCCTGGGCTGAATAGCTAGACCTAGTGTCAAAAGAGAAAAAGAGGTAGTGTTATCTTTAAGAGGTCACACCTGGGAGGTCACTGGTGAACCACCTTTGGAAAGAATCAATGCAGATTCTGTAGGACTTTGAGCAACTCACCTACACTGGGTCATTAAAAAATTCAAGCTGGGCCACTCCCCAGCCTCCTGTCTCTCATGTGATAATCTCTTTCTGTTTCCATCTCCTTCCCTCCCTTCTGCCATTGTGATGCCATCTGCCATGAAGTCCTCACTAGAACCAAGCTGATGGTGATGCTACCCATGCTTCAGAATATGCCATAAATGAATTTCCTTTCTTTATAAAGTTACCAAGCCTCAGGTGCTTATTTCATTATGGTTTTTAAAAGATCACTAATATGCTACAACATGGAGGAAGAGGTTCTTGAGAACTGGAGAGTCTTTTCTAGATGAGCATTGTAGGACCCTTCTGATAAGGCTGAGATGGTCTAGGAGCCTCTTGTACACTTGCTTTTTCAGCCCTGGACTCTGGGAAGGGTACTCAGATAACTTATGGAGTCAGAAACAGCATCTGTCCTCTTTGGGGCAGATTGGAAGGTGAAGGGGAGTGCACTGGCCCATCTGGGCACATGGACTTTGAACCTGAAAGGAAGGTTGGAAGCAAGACATTGGACTGGTATAACCCTGTAGGGCCAGGTGGGACTCTTGTCAGTTCCCATGTCAGGGTCCCAGGGCCTCACTTTTTCCTCTCCTCTTCAGACAAGACTCTTCAATGTTCCCTTCCATTCTGTGAGGGACTCCACTTCCTTGAGGTCAGGGTCTGCCTCTGTTGTTGACCCCCCCCATCACAAAACTGAGCATTTCCTCCAAAGGCACCAGGAGCTGCATCTCACACCTTCCTCATCTCAGACTTGTGCAGGAACAGCTCGGAAAAGACTGACCCAAAGCCATGCTCCACGACACAATCAGAAGATTTTCTTTCAACAGAGCCAGAATTGGAGAGTGAAAACTGAGAGCTCCTGCAGTGATTGTTGGTGCTGATCAAGGAGCTGACCCATCTGGTGTGACCAGTGAGGAAGAGTGATGACCTGCAGTAGCAAGAGAAGATCCTGCAGTAGCAAGGGAAGATGGAACTGTTGACAAGAGACCCTCAGTGCCACTTCAGCCTCAGTGATGCTCTGCCAGGGTATATGGGATGGTGGACACCAGTGTGCACAGCCTCTGCTGTGGGTTCCATGAAGGGCTCTGCTAGATGAGCTCCTAAAATCTATCAATCTCTCTCATCTCTCTCAATCTCTCTCTCTCTCTCTCTCCTCTCTCTCTCTCTCTCTCTCTCTCTCTCTCTCTCTCTCTCTGTCTGTCTGGCTGATTTTGAGCCC